ATGCTGTTTTGATTGCTGCTGCTTTGAATTAAGTAATAAGTTCTGAAATCAGGAAATGTGCCCTCCCAGCTTTGTTCTTTTTCAACTGTTTTGGCTATTCTGGTTCTCTTGAGATTCCATCTTAATTTTGGGTGTTTTTTTCTATTTATGCAAAAAACATCATTGGAATTTTGATAGGAGTTGCTTTGAATCTGTAAATCATCATGGATAGTATTGACAAATTAACACTATTAAGTTTTCCAATCCATGAACACAAATGTCATTTCATTTGTCTGACTTTATTTTTTTCAGCAATGTTGTGTAATCTTCAGTGTCTTTTGCCTCCTTGGTTATTTCTATGTATTTTATTTATTTTGATGCTACTGTAAATGGAATTGTTTCCTATTTGGATTGTTTATTGCTAGCATATAAGAAGTGCAACTGATTTTTTTTGTGTGTGTGGTGCCGGGAATTGAACCCAGGGCCTTGTACATGCAAGACAAGCACTCTACCAACTGAACTATATCCCCAGCCTGTGCAACTGATTTTTACAGATTGATTTTGTATCCAGTAACTTGGTTGAATTTACTAGTCTAAGAGTTTTTGTGCAGAGTACTTTGATTTTTAAATACAGAAAAATTGTGGCTTCTGGACAAATTCATCACTAACTTGTTCCAGTTTATGGAACTTTTGACAAGGAATACCTAAAAGATGGAAAAATTTTACAAAAAAAAAAAGTGTCAAGATCAAAACATGGAAACTATAAGATTTTTTCCCAATACTGTCATCAAAAATCCTGTGCATAAAAAAAAAAAAAAATCCTGTGCAATAGAGCACATACTTGGTATTCATGAGACCCTAGGGTTGATCCCTAGTACCTGTAGGGGTGGGTATCCTCTTGAAGGTATACCAAAAAAATGAGATTATTAACTTTATAAAGCTCTTAAATATATCCAAAAATTGTGAATCCTACTTCTAAGAAAATTCTCAAACTTATATCCTGAACAATCCTTCAGACAGGGTTGACTTTTTCAAGCTTATGAATATATAATAATGTTTTATATATATATATATATAATGTGTGGTATTGGGGATTAAATCCAAGAGTGTTCTTTTTCTGAACCAAATATCCAGCCTCTTTTTTAAAATTTTGAGATGGAGTATTACTCTGTTGGCTAGGCTGGCCTCAAATTTGTGATCCTCTTGTTTTAGCCTCCCAAGTAGCTGGGATTACAGTATCTACCTCCACAGCCAGCTGTGGACAATTTAATTCGATGAGGATGTTTGAGTAAAGGCTATGTACACATAATTTTCATTTCAATACATATTCATTAGGCTGGGGGTAGCTCAGTGGTAGAACTCTTACCCAGCATGCATAGGGTCCTGGGCTTAATCCCAAGCACTGCATAAATAAAAATTAAAAACTAAAAAAAGGGGCTGGGACTGTAGCTCAGTTACAGAGCGCTTGCCTAGTACATATGAGGCACTGGGTTCAGTCCTCAGCACCACATAAAAATAAACAAAGAAAATGAAGGCATGCTGTCTATTATCTACAACTATAGAAATTTTGTTGTTGTTGAACAGCATGGGGGAAGATACCAAGAATTTAGACTCTAATTTGATGGCTTTAAATTAGAATCCTAGTTATCCTACAGATAGTTGTTCTGACCTTTGGCAACTTCCCTACACCATTTCTGACGCTTTTTAAAATTGGGAAAATAATATCTGCCCACTGGGTTTGAGAATTAAATAACTTTGTATCAACTGTAAGTAGTCAACAGTGTTAGTTATTATGATTTTGAGTAGACTCTATGTTGGGCACTATGCTGAATGCTGGGGATAAAAAATGTTTGACTCAACATTTGCCAAGACGCTAATGATCTAGATGAAGAAGTGTAAATAATGTAAAATAATCTTAATATTGTACTATATATAATGTTGGAAATATAAGGCTATGATGTGGTCAGATATCAATTTAGATAGCTGGGCTCCTGTGTAGGGGAGAAGGAGTGAATCATAAACAGGACTACTAAGGAGACTATAATAATCCAGGCAAACTCTATATGTCATAACAATACAGATTGGGCTGATAATGTAGCCTTGCTGTGCCTATGGCCATAAGCTTCAGGAAAAAACTTTGTCACAGCTTGGAAGGTAACACACCTTAATCATCATTTGTCTTCACCTTAGTTAAGCAACTCTGAATCTTAGGTACCATTTTACAAAGGAAACTAAGGTTCAAGAGCAAGGTCACTGCTGCACATTATTCATATTGTAATATATGAAAATGTTACTCTGAACATAGTATGAATGATGGATCTTAAGAGTTGTACATTGCAGTAGCCCTATTGAAGAGGCTATAGGTAGGTAGTGAAGCTGATCTCTATCTTTAAACCTATGCTTTTCCCTGACATACCATTTTCTTTCTTATATTTTTTTTGTGGGGGGTACCAAGGGTTGAACTTAGGCACTTAACATTGAGCCACATCCCCAGACCTTTTTTTAAATATTTTCTCTAGAGACAGGGTCTCACTGAGTTGCTGAGGACCTCACTAGGTTGTTGAGGCTGGCTTTGAGCTCATGATCCTCCTGTCTCACCCTCTAGAGCTGGTGGGATTACAGGTGTGCACCATAGTGCTCAGCATAATATCTTACTTATGGGTTTATAACATACTCAGGTCTAAACATGGAGTTAAAATAAAGAAACAAACTGGACCCTACATAAAGGTTTTTCACAGAAACCTGGTAGGCTTCTTAAAATGAATTTAATAGAATTCTGAAAGTATTAGTTACTTAACAATAAATTGAAGTACTAGATGTATTCTTAAGATCAATACTTAATATGGAAAATAATGATTAAAATAAGGGATCAACCATTCATTTTCAGCTTCCCTAAAATACATGAGCTTTACAAAAAAAAAAAAAAAAAAAAAAGACTAGCCATAAAAATTAAGATAAAGAATCAATTTTACGTACATATTTCTTAAATTATCCCAAAAATTTAAGGCCAATTTCCCTACTATGTGTATCATATTTATGCCAAGAACCCTAAAATTTACTAAAGTTTCATCCATACTTTTATTCTTAAATTCTATGCCTACAATATTGTTGTTGTTGTTTATTTTTAATGTGGTGCGGGGGACAGAACCCAGTGCCTCACGCATGCTAGGCAAGTTTTCTACCACTGGGCCTCATCCCTGGCCAACTATGCCTACATACTCTGAAAGCAGAAACATTTTTGAGCACTGAGAATTTCAAAATGAAAAAAGAGGAAGAAGATTGTATAGTTTTATAAGTACTGATGAATACATCTCTGAACAGATTCCCTCCTACAGAATTTTCAGAGATTCACAGAACTGCAAAAGCAGAAGAAACTTTACATTTAGAAATATTTCATTTGACTGATGAATTTCAGAGTATTTCAGTGACCTGTCCAAGGTCACATAATTAATGCAAGTCTGGACCAGAACACAAATCCCCTGACTTCTAGATGTCTATCTCCATTTGCTATACTGCTTATCTTCTTATCTCCCTAACCACTTGAAGTGGTCCCCCTAACTCTCTCTGCTCCACAACATGCCTCTTTGGGGCAATATAAGAGGAACAGAATTCTCAACTCTGTAGATCATGTATCACTATTGACCTAACAATGGATGAGACATTATTTCAAGCACTACTTGAGTACATTTCATTTGGGAGTAGGGAGTAGAAGAGAAATGCAAAAGAAGAAAATTCTGTAGACAACAATAAGAGAGGCACAAGAGGAAATATTCTCCTCCTTTGTACTGTTATTTTATTTTGTTAAGTCCATATATTATATAAAAACATAACAGAAAAAAATGAACAAATTTATAAAATAAATTGAGGTGTCCAGATTAAAAAAAAAAAACACAAAAGCTTTGCCTTCGCGTCTACTGATCTCTCAATATATTGTTGGTCTTGCACTTTAGATATCAAATAAAGATATCCAACTTGAAACAAAAAAAAATTGGTATGCTGCAAGGATAAGCTGTAGTTAGTTTGGTGATGGGCCAGGAAATGACAGATTTTCTAAATCTTATCTTAAAATATTGACTATCAAATGCTGGTATGCAAAATGCAAGCTTTTATCAGACAGCAAGAGGGAAACTTGAGCGAATGAATGCAACTTACCTCCAAGTCCTCTGAAAGGAGGTAAAAAAAATAAATAATTACTGTTTTTATCAGTGCTCCCCGCAAAGCATTATTCAAAGCATGCAGGAGGGTGTTCTGAGCAGCTACAGTAAGATCCAACCCAGAGGTAGGTTCAAGGCCAAGAGTGGAGAGTGGTTGAAGGAATCCTCCCCAGGCCTGTACCATATCTCAGAATGCCCATTTGTGCTGGGGGATGAAGTCCATGGCCTATTTTCTTCTCATTCAAAAGGACTTTCCCATTTCAACCTTGCTGGAAAAAAGCTTTCTCACACCTGCTATTAGAACAGTTAGGATTCAGGACAAGGCCAGTAAAAAATTATTTAGCAAGCACATGCCGGCTATTCCAGTTTGAAATCTAACAAACTGTAAATTTGAGGGAGAATAAAAAGGTGAAGATAGAGCTGTTATTCCTTAAGATGAGGAACAAAACCTAGAAAAAGAGGGATTAGGCACTCAACTCTACATGGAGAACCTCCTTCTCAAGCTAGGTACAAGATGAGGAAGAATATTACTAAAGGTTGAACAGACCATTTAAAGAGCAAAAGGAGAGGGGGAAAAAAAGCAGTTATAAAGAAAGCTGGTAAAAGAAATTCTTCTGGGTCTGACTAGGTAAGTGAATCTAAGGCAATTGTACCAAAGATACGCAGTATTATTCCAGCATGAAGCTGGTGGCAAAAAAAAAAAATCCTCAAAAACATTTTAAACCCAGAGAAATATATGAAAAATATGATCCTTTGCCAAGCAAGTTAAAACCAAATCTCCAATGGTAAAAAACTCTCTTCAAATCTGAAATCAAAGAATTCACTTTACATTAATTCTGTGCATAATTGGAAAAAAAAAAAGGTAACGAATGTAAAGATTTGTTTTATTTCTACTGGGGGAAGGAAGAGGATAAATAGAACTGTTTTCCAATTTCTTCTCCACTGAATACACACATACCCACACGCATACATATACATACATACACCAAAAATACCCCCCCCCCAAACAAAACAAAAAACCAAGAAGTAAAAACCAAAACACCCTCAAACTGCACCAATACTTCATATTTGACCAAAAGAATAGATCCTGGGAAGAAGTGCAAAATGCAAAATCAAATGACCGAAAAATGCTGAAGAAACAGCATTATTAATATACAAAATATTTATATTACTGAACTAGTAACAGGTGATGTTCTCTGTGTCTGTAAAACTTTGGAACCACATAGCTGATTTGTTAAATCTAGTCCATGCCAGCTTCAAAATACCAAAAAAAAAAAATTTTAGTTAGCTTCATTCTTTGATGCTTCATCAAAATTTTCTACGAGATCTGGAAAAAACAACAACAAAAATAAGTCAAGGTGGGGGAATTCTAAGCTAAATAAAATTGCTGCAACTACAATTAGCTTGAAAACATAGAACAGGCAGAAATGAACATTTCACTAATAATGATTCGTTTATCTGCTTAAAACAGTAATCTTAAGGAGATATATATATATATATATATATTTTTTTTTTGGTCTTAGCAAACTACTAAGGTGAGTAGTGTTTTCATATGTCAATTATAATTACCACATTAACTATGCAGATTTATAATCACAATGATTTCAATTTAATAAATTCAGTTAGCAGAGCTTTGTGTGATAATTTCTAAGTTCTACAAGAGAGTGCTTTTATTCTTTTTCACTAATCTATTCACATCATTGTGACCAATTTAAATTCAGAGATCACAATAAATAAAATTTTGAAAGTCATCCTGTCAGTGAAATAAACAGGATGCTACATGTCTTAAGTTCAAAGAAATGTCACTTACCTGGAACATCATCATCCTCTTCATCAATGTCTTCTGGTTTTGGTGCTTTACTATCCAACACTATAAAAAGTTCATTTTAATATTAGTTATTAAGAACAAAGACCTTTATAAACCACTTGTAATATTTATCCTTTTTTTTTCAAGCCTAAATTTCATATAGTTGCTCAGGAAAAGATTTTATATATATCTTAATCCATTAATGGATTAAAATCCATTCATGCTAGGTGTGGTGGTGCATGCCCATAATTCAAGCAACTCAGAAAGCTGACATAGAAAGACTGCAACTTTGAGGGTATCCTCAGCAACTTAGTGATGAAGCTCAGTGCTAGAGGGCTAGGGCAGGGGCTGGGGGGTACACAGGGGTTCAATCCCCAGTACTGGAGGAAAAAAAAATTTCTTTTCTTTTTTTTTGCTTAAGTAACATTAAAATCAATAAAACTTTAACAATTAGATATACTCTCAATACAGTTGGCAACATTTATATGCAGCAAAGATAAAATTTATATTCAAATGGAATAATTCAGATATGAATAAACATAAATTACAGTCAGTCACAGTGGCCATATTCTCCAAATAAAAATTAATATTCAAGATTTCTTCCAAAAACTTACTAGAAAGTAAGTTTCTATCTACATAGTATGTATACAAATTACAGAGCCCTTTGATTTTTTGGGGCAACAAGACACATTTAATACTCTAGATTACCTTAGAAATACAGAATTTATGGTTACCATAGTGCAATCAACAACACTGTCTGAATATTCTATATACCATATTACATTGATTATTAAAGAAACAAAATCAAACTTTTATGAAGCATACAAATGATGTTATAAAAGGTAAAATAATTACATACTGAGGCAAATCCTCTCAGTTGAAGATGGGACACCATTTATATTATTAGGTTCCTTAATAAAGGTAGAGAGTGAAAGAAGTAAACTGAAATACCTACCTTGCCGTGGGAACTGTTCAGCTAACTTTCTAAGGCTTGTTAAGCTGTCAGCACCAAGCTGACTTAATATTCCAGGAAGCATTTCTGTGATTGGTTTGGCTTCTGCATGACCAGTAATTGCGAAGGTATTGGCAGACAGGGAAGCTTGGACTTTGGGATTGTTGAAATGAATAACTGTCCCATCATCTTTAATCATGTTCACCTGCATGACCACAGGAAAAAATGTATTTCACATGCTAGGTACAACTAAAACAATATCTTTTTAAAAAGCATTTTATCCAGTTCTGATTTTTTTACTTAGCAGGTATGCAATCTCAAGGTAGTGATTAGCTATAGTGAACACGAATGAAGAAAGACCCTAGCAATAAAGTACAATGATATGGATGATACAAGTTGCTAGTATGGTCAAGAAATAGTCATTTTATTATAGCATCTAGATTTCCAATTCAGACTTCTATGAGAAGAAAGTTCCTGCCTACCATTAAAAAAAAATTATCAACCAAAAACTGGCTTGTTAATGAAACGCTTTACCTTACTCAATTTACATTATCAAACACATTATGTGCAATTACCATTTGGTGAGACAGTATCTTACTTTGGAGACAGACTGTAAAGGGGAGACAACATATGGTAAATAACCACTGAAAACTCACAAAAAAACACTCTAAAATTTAATCGACTAGATATTTCACTCTTTCGAATGCTTAGTAAATTTACAAAAATCTCCACTTGTCAGGACACAAAATCAATAGCTTTCCTATATAATAATAACAGATTCATTATTATTATAAGAAAATCTAATTCACAATAGCTAAAAAGAAAAAAGAAAAGTGGGGATGGGAGAAATGAAAATCTTGGAATAAATCTAACCAAGGAAAAGACCTCTACAATAAAAAATTATAGAACACTGAAGAAAGAAGTTAAAGACAACACTAGGAGATGTTCACAGATAGGGAGAACTAACAATGTTAAAATGGCCATATTATCAAAAGTGACAGATTCAATGCAATGCAATTCCCATCAAAATACCAATCATATTCTTCACAGAACTAGAAAAATTCATTTGGAAGAATAATAAGATTCAAAATAGCCAAAGCAATTCTAAGGGAAAAGAAAAGCAAGGCTGGAGGCATCATAATACTCAACTTCAAATTATACTACAGATAATAGTATGGTACTGGCATAAAACAAGACACATAGACTAATGAAACAGAATAGAAAACACAGGGAAAAACCCACAGAGAAACAGTCACTGAATTTTTGACAAAGGTGCCAAAAGTATACACTGGATAAAAGATAGTCTTTTAAATATATGATGCTGGGAAAACTAGTTTTCCATACGTAGAAGAATGAGACTAGATTACCCTATCTCTCACTCTGAACAAAGGTCAAATCAAAGTGGATCAAAAGCTTATTAGCAACTTAGGGCTGTGGCTGTGGCTCATTGGGAGCGCACTTGCCTGGCACGCGTGAGGCACTAGGTTTGATTCTCAGTACCGAATATGAATGAATGAATGAATGAATATCAACAACTAAAAAAAAATTTAAAAAACAAAACAAAACAACAACGACAACAAAACCTTAGCAACTTAACAAAGACTTTGCAACTGCTGGAAAAAAATGTAGGATCAATACTCAACATATAGGCACAGTCAATGACTTTCTCAATAGGACTCCTAAAGCTCAGAAAATAATACTGAGAATTAATAAATGTGATGGTATCAAATTAAAAAACTTCAGCACAGCAAAGGAAAGAAGAAATTCTTCTGATAGAGGATTAATAACGAGTATATATAAATTATATATAAAGAACTCAAAAAACTTAACACTAAAACCCAAATAACCCAATCAATGGGTAAATAAACCAAACAGAAACAACTCAAAAGAAGAAATACAAATGGCCAATATATACATGAAAAAAATCTTCAATGTCTTCTGCAATTATGGAAATGCAAATCAAAACTATACTGAGAGTTCATCTCACTCCAGTTAGAATGTCAGTCATCAAGAACACAAATAATAATAAATGCTAGACAAGTTGTAGGGGAAAAGGAACACATTTACACTGTTGGTGGGACTGTAAATTATATAACCACTATGGAAATTAATATGGAGGTTCCTCAAAAGACTAGAAAGGGAACCACCATATGACCCAGCTATACCACCCCTCAATATTTATCCTAAAGAACTGAAGTCAGCATACTATAGTGATACATGCATACCCATGTTTACAGCTGCTCAATTCACAACAGGAAAAAAAAAAACAAAACTATAGAATCAGCCTAGGTTCCCATCTGTGGAAAATGGATAAAAAAAGTGATATACAAACATACATACACACACATATGACATATTCAGTCATAAAGAATGAAACTATGTTATCTGAAGGAAAATGAATAGAACTTGAGAACATTAAGAGAAATAAGCAAAACTCCAAAAGTCAAGGGTTGTGCATTTTTCTTGTATGTGGAAGCTTTAGAGGAAAAAGGGCAAAAAAGGTGGAGGAGTCTCATTAAAACAGAAGGAAAGGGGCTGGGGATGTGGCTCAAGCGGTAGCGCGCTCGCCTGGTGTGCCTGCGGCCCGGGTTCGATCCTCAGCACCACATACAAACAAAGATGTTGTGTCCGCCAAAAACTAAAATAAATAAATAAATATTTAAAAAAAAAAAAAAAAAACAACAGAAGGAAAACCAGAAGAGACCAAGGGTAGAAAAGAAGGTAGAGAAAGGGGAAAAACTGGGGAATGATACTGATATTGTTATATCCATGTGCATGTACAAATATTCCACTATTATGTATAATTACAATGCACCAATAAAAAAATATAGAAAAAAATTTGACCTGTTTTTATCATTTTTTAATACCTTTATTTATTTTTACACGGTGCTAAGGATTAAACCTAGCATCTTGCGTGTGCTAGGCAAGCTCTCTACCACTGAGTCACAACCCCAGACCTTATCACATCATTCTTTATAAGGGATTTTGACAGTTCCTCTAGTTCTTTTTTAAAATTAGAAAGGGGACTAATTTGGACTCAGGTGATCCTCCTACCTCAGCATCCCAAACAGCTGGGACTATAGGTACATGCTTCTATATCTGACTAGTTCCAATTTTTTTTTTTCTTGCAGTACTAGAGACTGAACCTAGGACCTTGCACATTCTAGGCAAGTACTGTATCACTGAGCTACATCCCAAGCTTTATTTATTTTATTAAAAATTTATTTTTCTTAAAAAACAAAAAAAACAGGCTCCTACTTAGTTACTGAAGCTGGTCTTAATCTTGTGATTCTCTTGCTTCAGCCTCCCAAGGAGCCGGGATTACAGGTATATGCAACTATACCCAGCTAGTTCCTCTAATTCTTTTTTTGTCAGTGTTGTTCTTTTTTTCTTTGTGCTATTGGGGACTGAACCCCGTGCTAGGCAAGCACTCTACCACTGAGCTACATCCCCAGCCCTAGTTCCGCTAATTCTTTTTTTTTTTTTTTAAATATTTTTTAGTTGTAGTTGGACACAATACCTTTATTTTATTTATTTATTTTTACGTGGTGCTGAGGATCAAACCCAGGGTCTCGCACATGTGAGGTGAGTGCACTACCGCTGAGCTAAAACCCCAGACCACCTCTAATTCTTAAATGTAGCTTCTCAACAACTGTTGACAACCTCTGCAAACATCAAAGAAATTTCCCACCCACCTGCCTACCTGAACATCCTTTATCAATGACTAGGAAATCTTTAAAATCATTCTGACATTATTTCTGTAGCTTTTACCAGTATGAACTGATTATTTCAAATTTTACTTGCTCTAGGACTTAGCTGAAAGAGAAGGTTGAACATGTGCTACTTAAATTACTGTTTTTCTATCTTACTAGTACTTTCTAGATTTTTTTGTACAGTGAATCTCTATACAAAGTTTAATGTGTAAATAATGTGATTCCATCACATAGTTGATTCCACTGGATAAGTTACCTTGGTGATAACATGCTTATTTTAGAAAAGATTTTAGAGAGTTAACTCTTGTCTACTTTAGAAGCATTTCATGATCCATCCAAAAACTGCCCTTGTCATAATCAAGAAGAGATGCTGAATGTTCTCCATAATCAGTGGGAAGGGGCTTTTCTTCCTCAGAGGTGATTAACACCACTGACAGCATCAGAAAAGAAGGGGAAGAAAGGGGCTTCTATATTTCAGGCAAGACCTGGAACACAGAGAAAATAAAGGCAAATCTCTGGAAAATTATAACTAAATCTCACAAATAATTTTCCATTTTTTTCTAACAAAATTTTTTTCCCCACTATTTCGTTTTTGTACCCTTCCATCTTAGTACTGTACTTAAAGTTCTATCATGGGTACAATACACAGCAAGCATTCAATCCTGCTGTTCTAAACAAATGACATCGTGACATAATTTACATGAACTTTAGAAAAAAAATAATTACATAATTTTTGAAGATACTTTAGTATTGGTAGAAAAAGCAAATAAATGTTCAAGTGGTCAAGAAGCTTTAGAAAGAAGTGACATAGTAGATGTGAAATATGATGTTAATTTAGATCTATCTTAGAATCACATAATTTTAATACAGTAGGACTATATTTTCCAAATTCCACCCCAATTACATGGTTTAATAAAGAGTTTCTACAATACTTCCAGGTGTGAAGAGTCTCAAAAACTGGGAGTTCAGACAATTTTTTTTTTTTTTTTTTTTTACTTACAGATATAAAGTCACAGGACATTTGAAATTGTTGTTCAAAAAAATTCATGCTAGGGCTGGGTTGTAGCTCAGTGGTAGAGCGCTTGCCTTGCAAGTGTGAGGCACTGGGTTCAATCCTCAGCACACCATATAAAGATAAATAAATAAAAATATTGTGTCCATCTACAACTAAAATTTTTTTAAAATTCACACTATATGTATTTTTTGAACTTTGAAATCTTCCCATTCAAATCCTTTATGTTAAAGAAATAAATATTGAAATAACACCTATTGATTAAGCAACATATCTAAGAATAAATAGCTGTTTAAGTGCAAACTGAGTACTTGAATGGAACTTAGGCTTCTCTGCTTGTTGTTTAATTTCCTTCCTACTTTGTTACCTCATGTTTAAAACATTTATTTGCTCATAAAAAGTCAACTCCATGGCTCCATGTAAGTCTAACAGAGAATTATTTATCTCAGAATATAGGCCAAATGGAGATAAAAGAAAAAC